CACTGAGGAGTCTCAAACAGCCGTTTGTTTAATCATTTTAAGATTGGCTTTAATCAATGTTTGAAAATGAATTCTTCATATATGATAAATGAGAGGTAACATTTGATTTATGGTATTATTTCCACATATTTCTCTCCGTTCTTCCTTCTGCCAACGGTGTCGCAGTTTCTCGTCTCTCCCGTTTGTGTGCTTAGTGCGTACGCATGGGTTAGAGTTTGCGTGGAGGACCGCACATTTTCCCGTCAAGTTAGTATTTTATAAATCGCAAACATTGCGTAGAAACTGGCGTACGCCATTTTTTGAGCGTATATCCCTTTATAAATGAGGCCCCTGGTCAGCACCCGACAGCGCAACATGTCCCAACACATCAACCGTTAGCTGTTAGCACACACTCAGAGCTCACAGCTCCTCATATCTGTTCAGAAACTGGACAAAAGTTAAACAAGTACAAACAACAGACTGTCTATGTCATGGTGAATACAGTCGCTGCTTTATTTATGTCTGTATGACGCTGTTCTGAGTGTGGACGGAGCAGCTACAGGTTAGTTTAGCCTGATCGATCCGCCCCCTCTCCAGCACGTCTTGTTTGAATGACAGGAGTAAACACTGACAGCTGCGGTGAAACTCGACAACAAAATGAACATATTGACCGTGATTTAATTGTAATACACGTTTCAAAGTGATGCCGAAGTAACTACATACTGATACCGGTTAGTAAAAACCATGAATTAATGCTTTGACAAGTCTGCAGACAAGACGGCAGGCGAAAAGCTTTTAAAATGCGTGTTTTCTGAATGGAAGCTGTAGCTGCTCCGTCCACACTCACAACAACGTCATATAGACATAAATAAAGCAGCGACTGTATTCGCCATGACGTATACAGTCTATGGTTTGTACTTGTTTAACTTTTGTCCCGTTTCTGAACAGATATGAGGAGCTGTGAGCTCTGAGTGTGTGCTAACAGCTAACGGCTGATGTGTTGAGACATATAGCTGTTAGCACACACTCAGAGCTCACAGCTCCTCATATCTGTTCAGAAACTGGACAAAAGTTAAACATGTACAAACCACAGACTGTCTATGGGCCGTTCTCATTTCATCAAATCCCCCTCCTCGACTCCTCGGTCCTCCGGTAGTGACCCAGAAATGAATTTTAGCGCGCCATGTTGAAGGACATCTAATTTCTCTAAATGCACATCGAGGACCGAGCATCGAGCGTCGAGGAGGCTATCTGGAGGAGCTATAACCGAGGATACACTGATGGGTCCTCCACGGCTCCTTCGTGGATGCATTTCCGGCAACAGAGATGTTTCAAAGAGTCGTGACGCACGGCCGGACTTATCTCAGCCAATGACAGCTCTGCATGCATCCCCTGGATATTATTTTATTAACTGCTTTCATCGCGACGCGATGTTTACAGAGAGAACAGCTGTGAGGTCCGGGCAGAAAGCAGAGCAGTGTGTATAATATATCACTCAGTATAACAGGCCTACTCTCTTTATTTGCTTTAGTTTAGTAGATATCTACAAACAAAGACTCGATATTTTTCTAAAACCATTTAGTGCTTCACATAATAAAATACACAACGGCTGTAGCCTGATGATATGCTTTAGGAGCTGTAGGTGCGTGTGTGTGGTGTAGGTGTGTTGATTGATTGATTGAAAAGTTTATTAACAGCTTGTATATTGGGTACAGTACAGTACAGCTCAAAACATACAATTGTTAAGGGGATGCAGACCAGAGAAAGACTTTCGTCTTGTTTACATCAGGGTCCTCCATTTCCAATTCATCATATCATTTAAGACATATAAGACATTTGACATACAGATGGCTTATTTACAATTTACATACAGTTGTTTTTTTACATACAGATGGCTTATTTACAATTTTCATTTTAGATTTCGTTCTAATACATCCTAACCGGACATTTAAGACATACCAAGTCTACAGATATACAGTTAGTAACAGAGTCTAAAATGCGAGTATATACATAGATGGGGGGGGGAAGCTGTCCATTGTACGACAGGTTGAGATTTGTACCATTACCGGGGCCAGTTTTGCAATGCTCTCCCTCGAAGGTGCTCTTTAAGAGAGGTTTTGAAGGTAAGTATATTTTTACTTTCCTTTACAGTTGTGGGAAGAGCGTTCCACCTTGATGTGGCATAATTGCGAAACGTGTATTCCCCATTTTTTGTGCCAAATCTGGGTTTTACATGATTTGTGGAGCTCCCTCTGGTGTTATGATCATGGTATTCCTTGACCTTTGGGAAGAATTTTGACATGTACATGGGTACCATAGAGGTGTAGTGGATCTTGTAGACCAGGCCCATTGCAAGTAGCTGTACTCTGTCGTCTACTCTAAGCCATCCTAGGTTGTCAAAGTGGGCAGAGGTGAGGTGGGTTCTAGATGGAAGGTCAAGCAGTAGTCTGACCAGTTTATTTTGCGATGTTTGAAGTTTTTTTTTTAGCGCCTTGGAGGTGCTATGGTACCATGACGTGCAAGCATAGTCATAGTACCCTTGAATGAGTGCTCCTGCCAGAGTTTTCAGGGTGCTTTTGTTTACCATAGAGGAGATCCGGTATAGGAATCTAGTTCTTTGATTGACCTTTTTTATTACATTGGATGCCATTTTGTCACAGGAGAGGTTTGCCTCAAGAATAGATCCTAGGTATGTAATTTCCTTCTTACTAGTGACAATAATGTCACCCACTGCAACTGAGAAGTCGTCGGATTTGCTGAGATTATGTTTCGAACCGAAGAGAATGGACTCTGTTTTACCCAGGTGTAATGATAATTTATTATCGGCGAGCCAGGTGCAGATTCTGCCGAGCTCGGAGCTGAGTGTTTTTTCAACCTGCAATCTGCTCCTGTCAGAGACCAGCAGGGCGAACAGGAACAAGTTGCAGTCACATGCTGATGACATGTCATTTGCATAAATTAGGAACAGTAACGGACCTAATATGCTTCCTTGTGGAACACCACAGCTCACTGGGAGGGGGGGGGGAAAGAGTACCGTTTACCTCCACCATCTGTTCTCTCCCCTCCAGGTAGGATTGCATCCAGCTCACCGATAGTTTATCAAAACCAATTGCTTTTAGCTTGTCAATCAGAATGGGGTGATTGACAGTGTCGAAAGCCTTTTGTAGGTCCAGCATCACCATGCCGCAGTATTTACCCTCGTCCACCTCTTGTTTGATGTGGTCGTTCAAATAAAGAAGGCATGTGTCAGTGGAGTGGGATGTTCTAAAGCCAGATTGAAATTCATAGATTAGTTTATTTTCCGCAAGGTACTTTTCGACCTGTTCATATACTATTTTTTCCATGACTTTCGAGATGGAGGTAAGTATAGAAACAGGGCGGTAGTTGCCTGGGTCCAATTTGCTGCCCTTTTTGTGCAAGGGGGTTACTCTTGCAATTTTGAAGTCTTTGGGTACTTTTCCCTGTTTTATGGAGAGGTTAATTATGTGAGCTATGACTGGTGAGATGGCGGTTGCTGTGTCTCTGAGGAATTTGGAGGGGATATTGTCGTGGCCAGTGGCCTTGTTAGGTTTGAGGGCGGTCAGTTTAATGAGTACCTCTGCTGTTGTTACCCTTGCTAGACTGAAATCATCTTTGCGTACCCCTAGGTTTTTGTAGTAGGTCATGATGTGATCTACTCCAAAAAGCCCTGAGTGGGTGGATAATTTATTTACAAGAGTTGTGGCTATGTTTGTGAAAAAAATGTTCAAGTACTTGGCCACATCCAGTTTGTCTGTGATGAGCCTGTTATCTGTCTTTATGTTTAAGTTTGCAAATCTCGTTTTGAGTTTTTTGCTGCAGCCAAGCAGTGGTACAGTGCGTAGATGCAGCGGACAGACAGGTCTCAGTTGGTTTGGTGTCCTCTGCTTACTTTTAATACTTGTAAATAAAACTTTTGGCCCGTAATTTATTTTCCTCATTGTAGCGACCAGAGAGGGGAGAGGGGGGGGGATATATCCAGTCTCTGATAGTGTTACGTTATTACTGTATGAGAGTGCTCTGTTTGATTCTGCAATTATATATATATATATACACATATATATATATATATATATATACACACATATATATATATACACACATATATATATATATACACACATATATATATATATATATATATACACATATATATATATATATACACCTATATATATACATATATATATATATATACATGTGTGTGTGTGTGTGTGTGTGTGGTGTGTGTGTGTGTGGTGTGTGTGTGTGTGTGTGTGTGTTGTGTGGTGTGTGTGTGTGTGTGTGTGTGTGTGTGTGTGTGTGTGTGTGTGTGTGTGTGTGTGTGTGTGTGTCCGCATCTGTAGCCTGTTATTGTCTCATTATACCGCACTGTCAATGAATTAAAAGTAAATATATAAGTCGTCATGAACACATCTGTCCATCCAACTTCCTCCTGACTGCTTTTCTGTTTTGTTTTTTTGTTTTTCTGTTTTGTTTTTGTTTTGTTGTTGTTTTATTGCCTGTCCTTGTTTGTCTACCCTTCCCCAAATGTAAAGCGTCTTTGGGTTTAGAAAAGCGCTATAAAAATAAAATGTATTATTATTATTATGAAAATCCCTAATGTCCAAGTGCAAGTGAATGCAGCACAAGACGCGAGCCTTGTAACCCCTCCCCTGGCCATGGCGCGAGCGTGGAAATGTGATTGGCGGCGATTTCATTTGAACAGGACGGCGCAAAACGAGAAGCATTCGTACCCAAGTAAACGGAAGGAATGAGATATTTTCTGTCTACAATGACAGAGAAGAGACTGTCAAGTTTGTCTGTACTCAGCATTGAATCAAAATGCACTAAAGCTTTGGATCTTAATCGATTTGTGTGGCGTTTTGCTGAACAAGATGGTAATCGCCACATTCAGCTGTTATACAGGGTTCTTACACCTTTTCCAAAGTCAAATTCAAGCACTTTTCAAGCATTTTCAAGGTGCATTTCAAGCTTATCAAGCATCTTACAGCTGTTGTAAATTACATATTTATATACACATACTTATCCTCAAATGATTATTTCCCTACCTCACATTAAATCAGATGTTCTTTATGCCGTCAAGGTCGTCAGGTGGAGAAACTATGGCAGATAAGTGTCCTCCCCTTTCAGAAAGAGCCAGGCATCACCAGATCCAAGCGCCCCTCCAGTCCAGTGGACCCCCTTCCAGCAGCTCATTGACCGGGTCCTGCGTCCCACTCTCAGTATGCAGATATCCGGATAGCTACATCGTTCAAAGTGAGGTGTTGGGGCAGGTAAAGGCGGGGCTCCAAGCTAACCTGAAGAAGAGTGAGTTGGGGTATCTGGGGTCGATGGAGTCTCCTCTTTGGTGCCGGGATGGGTGGGAGGTGGTGGTAGGTAGCAGCAGGTATATGTGCAACACATCTTTCTTCTTAAGAAAAGCTTTAAGTACAATTGATTGTTTTTGTTCATTTAATATTGAGGAGAGCCAACAGGAAGTCTCTCATCAGCTGCAGCCTTCTTCTTTATTTTCCAAAATGCCTCTACGCTCCTCTGTACGTCTCAAACTCGCCCTGTGATGAATAAACTGAGAACAAATAAAACCTGAGCTTACAGATTTGTCTGGAACACCAGAAAAACGTGTTGAAACCTCAATAAGTAAACTTCACACCTCTCACCTTTCTGTGTGTCTTCACTTCCTGTCACCTGAGAGGAGAAGGAGAGAGAGAGAGAATAATGATGATAATAAAACAAAGAGAAACAGCCAGAATGATGAAGGGAGAAACAAGAGTGTTGTTTTCCTCTGAGGTCACGCTCCATTAAAGAGTTTCATATCTTGATGAATGGAGGATATGGTTTCAGTACTCACAGGTCTTCTGGATCGTGGCTCTGATCGTCTCTCCTAGTCCATATCCGATCCTGTAGAGATGAACACAATCCAACAGTTTAAGATCCAGTTTAAAATAAGTGTTAGTTCTTTGAGTCAGCTTCAGAGTCCTGATCTCATGCTTTACATCCCATCATATCTTCTCTGCAAACACTACGACTGCCTGCCACAGCTCTCAGCTGCATGACAGGAAGTAACCAGTCATTGGTCTAGAACAGGGGGGTCCAAACTTTTTTCACCGAGGGCCACATACAGAAAAATATATAAAGGTCTGGGCCGCTCTCTAGAGGTATGTTGCCTCATAAGTTCAGTTATAAGTCAGGAAACTCAATCAAATGAAGGTAAAGGATGCTTGTTACTTGAGGATGCTTTAAGAAACAAAACAGCTCTCAGCTCTCCAGAGGGTTTACTGTATTCTGTTAGCAGCTCATTCCTTTAAACAGGAGCTTCAGATTGATTATAATTACAGGAAATATGAAGGGTTTATTTCACGCTTGTTATAAAAATAAGTTATTGGGCTTTTTTCTTATCAAGTTAGATTTGTTAGGAAATGTTTTCAGCTTTGAATTGAATTGAGTGAATTTATTTTAAAGGTGGGATTATTAACACATGAATACTACTGTGTAATATATGTGTACATATATATTTAAGAAGTACAATATAAGACAAGCAGAAGTTTCCTTTGTGGGCCGTATTTCATTATACTTTCAGAATTTGCTGAGGGCCGATTCCGAGGGCCGCATTTGGCTCCGGGCCGCAGTTTGGACACCCCTGGGCTAGAAACTAAAAACATCCCATAAGAACAGACTACCTTTCCCACTCTTCTGTAAAACCCCATATGTCTGTTAGAGAGTTGATTACTAAAGTGTGGCTTTGCATGTTCAGCTGGCCTTCTATAGTTGATGGAAGAATGAAAGAGCCTGCAGTCAGTGGGTAACATCACTGATCTGTTTCCCCAGTGAGAGAAACACCTCCCTGTGGTTCATACAATACTGCTGAACCAGCAGAGACCCCTTACTGACCTGACAGTCTCCAGTCTGCAGTCTGGACTCTCCACAAGATCTCTCAGCAGCTTCACTCCTGAACCCTTGAGATTGTTGGCCCTCAGGTCCAGATCTCTCAGATGGATGTTGGACTTCAGAGCTGAGGCCAGAGCAGAACAGCTGATCTCTGTCAAACTGCAGTTAACCAGTCTGAATAAAGAAAACATGATGAGGATACAAATCTGTTTATAATCAGATGTTATTCAACATTGAAATGAATGGGAACAAAAACATGTGTCTTCTTCAGAAAGTCAACTTTATCCTGTAAAACTAATATTACTTCAGATGAACTTTATTCAGATGTTATCGTTTACTAAATATTAAAAACATAGATTTACTTTTCACAACTAACATCTATTACAGTTCCTTTGAGAATCAGTCAACATTTATCTCTGCAGTTCTTACTTTAGTACCTACAAATGAAAGTATGAATAAAAGAACATTAACAACTTTATAGATGTAAGTTAATTATGAAGAAGAATCAGGTTGAATAACTAATGAAACATGAGATCTCCAGCAGTAACAGAGAATCAGTGAACTGACCCGAGAGTCTCCAGTCTGCAGTCTGGACTCTCCAGAAGATCTCTCAGCAGCTTCACATCTGAATCCTGCAGATCGTTGCCACTCAGGTCCAGATCTCTCAGATGGATGTTGGACTTCAGAGCTGAGGCCAGAGCAGAACAGCTGATCTCTGACAAACTGCAGCCATACAGTCTGAATAAAGAAAACATGATGGGGATACAAATCTGTTTATAATCAGATGTGTTACTCAACATTGAAATGAATGGGAACAAAAACATATGTCTTTTTCAGAAAGTCAACTTTATCCTGTAAAACTAATATTACTTCAGATGAACTTTATTCAGACGTTATCGTTTACTAAATATTAAAAACATAGATTTACTTTTCACAACTAACATCTATTACAGTTCCTTTGAGAATCAGTCAACATTTATCTCTGCAGTTCTTACTTTAGTACCTACAAATGAGAGTATGAATAAAATAAAATTTACAACTTTATAGATGTAAGTTAATGATGTAGAAGAATCAGGTTGAATAACTAATGAAACATGAGATCTCCAGCAGTAACAGAGAGTCAGTGAACTGACCTGAGAGTCTCCAGTCTGCAGTCTGGACTCTCCAGAAGATCTCTCAGCTCCACTCCTGAATCCTGCAGATCGTTGCCACTCAGGTCCAGATCTCTCAGATGGATGTTGGACTTCAGAGCTGAGATCAGAGCAGACCAGCTGATCTCTGACAACCTGCAGCTCCTCAGACTGAATAAAGAAAACATGATGTAACTTTAGAAAACAAAGTTCCTGTTTGAAATAACTCCAGGTTTAATAATCTGTTCAGAGTTAAACAGGGTTTTAAAGGTCTCCTATCAGGCTATTTTTAGCCATATATTATGGGTCTCAGATATACACAAATATATAAAAACATGTCTATGATGTGTTTTGCTCAAAATACCAAACAGATCATGCATTTTAGAAATCCCACATATCCCTCTGTTCCAGCTGTTAGAGAAGAGCAGGCTCGGGTCCTTAGCTTTAAAAAAAAAAAAAAGGAGGTGGAGCTAATGCCTGCTCAGAATTCTACCAGCAGAAACTCAGCTAAATGCTGCCGTGATGAAACTCCATATCATGTTCCAAACCACATCAAGGATTCTCTCTGAAACAGCATGGAGCTCAAACTCTTTCTCTCTCTCAGGTTTACCACAAGGTGAGTTCCTTCTCATTTCCTGCTTCTTCACACATGCTCTCTCCAGTACAGGTTAGCTCTGAGTGTTAGCATGCTAATGTAAACACAGACCATATTACTTCCAGAACACGTCTCATTGTTTCTGACAGCAACGTTTCTGATTGGCCCGTTGGTGTAAAGCCCGCCCACATTTTAGTAATGCCGTCATGACGCAGCAAATCTGGATCAGCTCCGTTGTTCCCCCGTTTTTAGAGATGTGGGTACGAAGGAAAAGAGAGAGGGTTTTGTTTCCTGACACTTTGTGAGTCTCCTGACACCGGGGACACACCGGGGACACACCGGGGACACATAGGGACACACCGGGGACACATAGGGACACACCGGGGACACATAGGGACACACTGGGGACACATAGGGGACACACCGGGGACACACCGGGGAAACACCGGGGACACATAGGGGACACATAGGGGACACACCGGGGACACATAGGGACACACCGGGGACACATAATGATGTAGAAAAGACATCAGAAAGTGACTTTTGCATGATAGGAGACCTTTAATGTCAGAGATGATGTAGAAACAATCCATTGATAATCTGGAACTTTAACTTTGATCAGATGTTTAACAACTCCTTCATCTCCCTCACAGCTCATCAGCACTGACAGCATCTCCACTGACTCATGGAGCACAGAGTGAGTCTGTGTCAGCTCAAACACTCTCCCTCACACATACCCCTTTCACACCGGCGCTTTTCCAGCTCCTGCTGGGAGCTAGAGCCTGAAAAGCGCCGGTTTTTCCTGTTCACACCGCAGCGGCGGCGCGTCATAGCTCCGGAATGCGGTTCACTTCCAGCTCCAAAAAATTGTCGGTCCAGAGGCAAGAGCTTCGGAGCTATGACGCGGCGTCGCTTACGTCTCTTACGTCAAGGCGTGCAGGAAACCTTACTTTGACCATCCGTTCGCTGTTATTGATCATTGTGGAGATACATGGGCTATACAGGTTGTCATGTCCGACTATCAGAAGTAGAATCATAATGAAAAATACGCCGGTAAAATGTGCCTATAGGAAACGGCTTAGCAAGTAGTCAGTTTAGCTTCGGTTGCTATGCTAACATCACCCATGTTATACCAGAGAAACTTTCATAACAGCGTTGTGATGCCAAACAGCGTCAATTCAGACTGACACACATTCACTTAAGGGGAACTGGGGATATGTATCAGCTGCTTGTGTGACAGTCAGACAGTGAATACTTTAGAGCCGTGTGAGCTAACCCGGAGCTAACGGGAGAATAAACTCCCGTGGAAGAGCAGCACTGCAGCGGTCGGTAAATGCCGCTGAAACACATTAATAAACAATGAACCACGGCACTCTGGAGAAAAGTATAAGGTTGGAGAAGTCGTTATTTAATTTAATCTGGCTTCGTATGATTAAAAGCAACACGATCATCGACCCGATGCAGTCCCTGGCCCGTTGTTGTTGTGGGAGAAAATCAGCGACGTAAACTGTGACGTCATGATGCAGCAGCGGCAGCTCTGGGCAGTGTGAACAGAGCGGGAGCTGAAAAGGGAAACGGGAGCTGAACCAGAAAAGCTCTCGCGAGGAGCTAGAAAGTGAAAAGCGCCGGTGTGAAAGCCGCAACATTCACCTTCTCTTTGTTACTCTGATCAATATTCAGTCATTAGCAAAAGTGGAAAAAAAACTTTAATGTATTTTTTTCAAATTCAGAAAATGATAAACACAAACAGATGAAGTTCAGTCAGTGAACTGACCTGAGAGCCTCCAGTCTGCAGTTTGGACTCTTTAGTCCAGAGCTCAGCAGCTCCACTCCTGAATCCTGCAGATCGTTGCCACCCAGGTTCAGATCTCTCAGATGAGAGAGGTCAGACTTCAGAGCTGAGGCCACGACTTCACATCCAGTCTCTGAGAGTCCACAGCCAGTAAGTCTATAATAACACATATATTACAACACGTGTTAAAAAAGAGGAAACATAATGATCTCAAGCATTTGATGAAAAAAATATTTGACAAATGTTCTGATTGAGATTTGCTGTTAGTCCATTTTAATAATATATGATAATAGAGTGTAATGTGTTGTCAGTGTGATCTGATCACAGGTCTGTGCTCCTGCTGTCACTGACTGTTACCATAGAAACAGAAATTAAATAAATCACTTGACAATATTAGAGATGTACATATTTAAATGTTAATTAATATTTGGATGTGAATGATGGATGTTTTGGTTTCTCTGAGCATCTGGAAATGTATTGTGCACACAAACACAGTTAACAAACCAATAAAGTTTCAATATTTTAACCTGAATACCATCAGATGTTCTCACTATATGAGTATTAAGACATAACTCTGGTATTGGTGGGATATGATATAGATCTTATTTTAAACTCTAACACATTGTGATAAAAACGTGTGTGTGTTTAATGATAAAGAAACTACTAGAAAGTAATAATATAACTGATAACTGTAAGTCCTGCTGTGTGGTGTGATCACATGCTGAGAAAGCTCTAGAGTCCTTCATGTGTTTGACATATCGCCTCCATCACTCAATATGAAGAGAGAAACGCTTCAGTTTAACTATTATTATAAATAAATAGAAGAACAGTGTTGGTTTATTTTGCTCTCAGTATTTAAACAGCAGAAATGTTATAGTGTTTATTTGAATAATTAAACTTCTGATCCACATTAGTTTATAAAGTTAATCACATCTGGACTTACTTGAACTTCCTGCAGTTCCTCACAGCTGGAATCAGTCTCTGTTTCCCCTCCCATGATGTGTTGTACTGACTCAGGTCCAACTCATCCAGAACCTCCTCTGACATCTGCAGCATGTAGGCCAGAGCAGAGCAGTGGATCACAGAGAGTTCCTTCTCTGATCTATTCTCTGACTTCAGGAACTCTGTGATCTCCTGATGAACTGAGTGGTCCTTCATCTCTATCAGACAGTGGAAGATGTTGATGCTCCTGTCAGGAGAGATTTCATCACTGCTCATCTCCTTCAGGTTGCTGATGGCTCTCTGGTTGTCTGTGCGACCCAGCTGGCCTCTGAAGAGTCTCTGGATGGTTTCTGGTCTGTTGTCTGTGCGACCCAGCTGGCCTCTGAAGAGTCCCTGGTCGGACTCCAGAGAGAGGCCGTGGAGAAAGCGGACAAACAGGTCCAGGTGGCCATTTTCACTTCTGAGGGATTTCGCCATGGCTCCCTTTAGGAAGACAGGCAGGGATGGGTAATCCTGATCACTGTTGTCATCATCCAAGTCTCCCTGCAGGAAGTCCTTCAGTACCGTTGTGTTCCTGTTGGTGTAACAGTGCAACATGTAGACTGCAGCCAGGAACTCCTGAATGCTCAGATGAACAAAGCAGTAGACTGTTTTCTGGAAGATCACTCTCTTTCTTTTGAAGATCTCTGTACAAACTCCTGAGTGCACCAAGGCCTCGGTGACACCAAGACCACAGCGCTGCAGGTCTACTTGGTAGAACATGATGTCTCCTTTCTCCAGATGTTCAAACGCCAGCCTCCCCAGCTTCAGAAGAACCTCCCTGTCAGCCTCCGTCAGCTGCTGTGGACTCGTCTCATGTCCCTCTTCATACTTCTGCTTCTTCCTCTTGGTCTGGACCAGCAGGAAGTGTGAGTACATGTCAGTGAGGGTCTTGGGCAGCTCTCCTCTCTGGTCTGTAGTCAACATGTGGTCCAGAACTGCAGCAGTGATCCAGCAGAAGACTGGGATCAGACACATGATGTGGAGGCTCCTGGAGCTCTTGATGTGAGAGATGATTCTGCTGGACAGGTCTTCATCACTCGATCTCCTCCTGAAGTACTCGTCCTTCTGGGCGTCAGTGAAGCCTCGTACTTCTGTTACCTTGTCCACACACTCAGGAGGGATCTGATTGGCCGCTGCAGGTCTGGAAGTTATCCAGACGAGAGCCGAGGGAAGCAGCTTCCCCATGATGAGGTTTGTCAGCAGCACGTTGACTGACGACTTCTGTGAGACATCAGACACAACCTCATTGTTTCTGAAGTCCAGAGAAAGTCTGCTTTCATCCAGGCCGTCAAAGATGAGCAGCACTTTACAGACAGCCAGCTGCTCTGCTGTGACCTTCTGTAAGGTTGGATGGAAAACATGGAGCAGCCTGAGAAGACTGTACTGCTCACCTTTGATCAGGTTCAGCTCCCTGAAGGAGAGCGGGATCACCAGACTGACATCTTGGTTTCCCAAACCCTCGGCCCAGTCCAGAGTGAACTTCTGCACTGAGAAGGTTTTTCCAACTCCAGCGACTCCGTTGGTCAGGACCGCTCTGATGAGAGTCTGTTGGTCAGGTAAGGCTTTAAAGATGTCCTGGCACTTGATTGGAGTGTCATGGAGGGTCTCTTTCTTGGAAGCTGTCTCCAGCTGCCTCACCTCATGTTGGGTATTAACCTCTTCACTCTGGCCTTGTGTGATGTAGAGCTCAGTGAAGATCCTGTTGAGGAGGGTTTCACTTTCACCAGTTCCTTCAGTCACACGTTCACATCTCCTCCTCAGACTGAGCCTATGTTCATCTAAAACCTTCTGCAGACCACTATCTGCTGGAAGAGAAGGAAACATGAGAGAATGAGAAAATGCTTTTGAGAATATAACAATAAAACTAATAAAAACAGACTGAGTTTAAATGTTTTATAAACATTTTAATGTCTATGTTCTTCAACAGAATACCTAATAAACAAAACAAATGAACCAGGAAGAGGAATAAGACGCTGCATGAGTTCGGCCTCTTACCTCGTACAGAGCTGGTCTGACTGGCTGTCTGCAGGCCAGCTCTGGTTCTGGGTCTTTCTCCACACTGGGGACAGGAGGGGTCTCCTGATGGAGGGTGCTGCTCCCAGTATGAGGTGATGCACTGTCTGCAGAACCAGTGTCCACAGCTGGTAGAGACTGGATCCTTCAGGACGTCCTGACACAGAGCACAGCTGGACAGCTGCTCCTCCACAGGAACACCACTCTTCCTCTTCCCTCTGTGGAGAGGAACACATCCTTTACAGCACTTTACTTCAGAGGGGCTGATTCTCACCAAAGGTACAACAAGGGGGCAAATTCTAGTTTGATCTTTAAAAAAAGGTCTATACAATATATACCCTTGTGATCAGGTATAGCTTACAATTCACATGATCATAAAACCAAAGAGCATCCTGTCTGGATTCATCACCCAGAGGAGCACATGTTCCCTGTATCTACACACACATTATATTATATATATATATATATATATATATATATATATATACACACACTGTATTAACCTGGTACACTATAAACCCAACTTGTATAGAATCTGCTGTGAATTAATATAAATAAACATATGGAAAGGATGCCTAAATAACAACAGAATGATACTGATGTGTAAAAAGCCTGAGTTAATGCTTTGTCAGGTCTGTCTCCAACACAACGAGCATAACATTTATTTTCCTTTTTTTTTCTGAAGAGATGGGTTTGATTAAAGCTAGGCTGCTCCATCAACACTCAGAGTAACTTCATGAAGTCATAAGTACAGCAGTCACTATATTGTTAGCACCACAGACAGTCTCTGGTTTATACAGGAACATTAATAACCCTGATTTAATATGAGCTGCTGTCGAGCTCTGTTCTCCTCTCTGATTCCCCTCAGACCGTCAGAGACCCCAGGAGCACAATCTCAACACTGACAGGTTTTTGTAACAGAGCGTCACTAACTTTACACTCAAGTTGAAATGTGTCACGCTGCACGAATACGCAGGTGATATGAATTTAACATCTTCACTTCCTTCGTGTTGCCAGGCACGGATCTGGGTCTTCGTATTGACTCTACATGTGATTTCACAAAACTCTGTTTTATCTGCTAATGCTAAACACAACCAGCTCACCAGGTTGTCACTATTATTAATAAACATCTTAAAAAGACATATCATAGATATGCCCAAGTAATTAAATAATGTTTTGGACAATATATCAAGTTTTTAAATCAGTATTTATCAATATTGTTGCTATTTAAAACCATTTTATACACAGACACAATGATAATATAATTGCATATTGAAATATCCTTAGATAATGTTAGCTTACTCTGCTGCGTTTTCCCTTTACAAACTGCTCACATGATATCATTAAAGAACAGTTTAATATATTAGATTACATCAAAACTGGATCCTCTTCAGGTCAGTTTACAGGAGAGACTCTTACTTTGTGTCTGAGGGTCCAGGTTCATTACTGAAGTATATAGGTTCCTCTTTAGACCAGTCACTCTTCAGAGACCACATGGAGACCGTAGACCCTGCTCTCTGTCTGTGGAAACAACACATGTTGAAACATCATTAGTTCATTTAAAGAGCAGCTTTTGATCTATGACTGTTCACCTTATGAAAGATCTTTAGAGTTGTTGAGTCGTGATTGTGGGTTTCTGTTGTTCAAATTCATTCGAGTGTGAAACGTTTTACATATTTGCATTTTATTTGCTTAATTTAACACAAAGTCCAACATGTAGAGCAGGGGTGTCAAACTTAATTTAATTCCGGGCCACATCAGCATTATGGTTGCACTCAAAGGGCCGGTTGTAATTTTAATTATATATAAATATACATATGTAAATATATAATATATATTAAATAATGTATTATATTACATTGTTGACCCTGCATTGGATTATTATCAGTTCTGGTAATATCTTCCTAAATAACTACGTCTGAAAGCAGAAGTCTAGGGCAAATCATTGAAAGCAAATATTCAACAATTACACCAATTGTATTGTATATTATATTCTTTGCAAGCTCTTGCGGGCCACATAAAATGAGGTCGCGGGCCGGATTTGGCCCCCGGGCCTTGAGTTTGACACCCCTGATGTAGAATGTGAGGATGATTTCACTAGTAGATTATTTACTATCTCTGATGATGACAAGAAGCAAGAGATCAATTCAACTTTGTTAATGTACTCTACTGGGTTTCATTAAACAGTTTAGATGATCAGACACCAACAAACTGGATCCTCTTCAGGTCAGTTTACAGTGGAAACTCTTACTTTGTGTCTGAGGGTCCAGGTTCATTACTGAAGACTGGAAGAAGCCACTCCATAGACCCGTCACTCTTCAGAGACAGACCGCTGGAGACTGAAGACGTGTCCTCTTCCTCTTCTTTTAAATCACTCATCTTCTCCAGTGTTGAGATCTCCAAATCAGGTTGAATACTTAAAACGAAAGTTAGTTATAATTAAATATAATCAATTATATTCTTGTATAACCCACAATGAAAATGCTTCATATTTTATGATTTTCTATATTTACAGTATAAACAAAACACAAGTGGTATGTTAAGTTGAGTGTAAGGCCTGTAATGGTTTATGGGTGTCACTGATAAGAAGGCAGTTTCTTCCCTCTCCCCTCACAGCAGTACACAGGGAGGGGGGCTCCTGACTTAAGGAGAAATACATTGAGGCCCCAAAAAGGTGGTTATGTCATAGCCGAGAATAATATTTTGCAAGTCCTGCAGAGTAGGGGTCATGTCCTTTTTACACAAACATGGGAAGGTGTGTCTTATGCCAGAGCCATAGAATATGTCTGGTCATGTCCAGTTCTTTACATCAGAGGCCATGCCCAGTTTCCACAAATATGGGTATGGAGGAGGTGTAAAGACACTGGCAGATGGGGAGGAATTTTTTTTTTTTTGGAGGGAGAGAGAGAGAGGGGGTGGGGGGGGGGGTTTCGCCTGGTATGCTCTCTCCCGGTAAAGCTCTCTCCCTTCAGAGCTGTGTTTTTGCTCTCGGTAAGGTTCTCTCAAACTGGGTAACTATTGCTTGAATGAATTGATGGATGAACGTTTTTAAACTTAGGATTTCTAACTGATCATTCTGAGGAGCAAAACCTCTTAAATATGTCAGGCTATAGGCTGTGAATGTTAGAACCTTCGATCCACGAGGAGATCCCTCTGGGTTCTGTCGGAATTTCCAACTTATCATTTAAAGGGTATTTCTAACTGATCATTCTGAGGAGCAAACCTCTTAAATGTGTCATAGGCTGTGAATGTTAGAACCTTCGATCTACGAGGAGATCCCTCTGGGTTCTGTCGGAATTCAAACTGATCATTCTGAGGAGCAAAAACCTCTTAAATGTGTCAGGCTATAGGCTGTGAATGTTAGCACCTTCGATCCACGAGGAGATCCCTCTGGGTTATGTCGGAATTCAATCTGAACATTCTGAGGAACTGACCTCTTACATGTGTCAGGCCATAGTGTGTGGATGTTAACCCCATCGATCTGTGAGGAAATTCCTTTTGGATTTTGATGGGAGACTTTAATGGGTGAACTATGAATTAAGGTTTTAGATTAGAAAATAACCCCAGCATGATATGTTTAGTATGATTATAATGTTGTAACGAGAGAAGGTAAAAACCCTGTATTAGTTTGGACCTATTTTTCTTCAAATAAACTGATCCCACCTTTTGGATTGGGACAACTTAAAAGACATCTGCGCTCTCCTCTC